TAGGCCATTCGTCTGCATTTCCTCCTGACACCTCTCCACCTATCTAGATCCCAAACATCCCTAACGGCCTAACAGTGATCTGCAAGCTTCTTCTCATGACCCTAGTCCATCTTGAATTGTTACTGTTCTCTCAGTGCCTTGCTCCTTATTAAGCAACTTCACTTTTATACTTTTTACATTATATCCTTATCTCAAGTAAGAGATCCTTTGAGAAACAAAGCTAAAAATTAAGCTTAAAAATCTTTGGCACTTATTTTATCACAAAAGTATTATAATGGGCTTCCTCTAATTTTCTGTCTTATTTCCCCAATTAGGGTATAAGTCCGTTAGGGACAGGGTTTTTATATGTCTAAGGTAATTCAGGTATCTTAGCCTGCTTGGGCTGCTGTAACAAAATATAGACTGGCTGGCTTAAACAACTGGAATTTATTTCTCACAATTCTAGAAACTGGGATGTCCAAGATTAAGATACCAGCAGATTCACTTCCTCACTGAGGGCTCTCTTCCTGCCTTGCTGACAGTCACCTCCTCAATGTGGCCTCACATGGCAGAGAGAGGGAGCTTTGGTCTTTCTCTACTCACAAAGACACTAATAACATGATGGGGCCCTACCTTCATGACCTCATCTAAATCTAATTTACCTCCTGAAGTCCCCCACCTCCAAATATCATCATATTGCAGGGGTTAGAGCTTTTAAGACATGAACTTGGGAGGTAGGGAGAGACAAACATTCAGTTCATACCAGGTATGCCTATTAGACTAATAGGAACAAAGTAAGTGGCCTCCATAAATTAGTACCTTTTGATTTGTGTAAGCAGTGCCTACAGAAGTGTGAACTTAAGTTTGACTTGGTAAAATCTTTTATTCTAGACAGTTATTTTCCATGCAAAATTAAAAACTGCTCTATCATTTATCAAGAAATTACCTCCTGTCTAGGATTATGACAGGGATGGCAAGGTATCTTTTGCAGACTTTGAAAAAGCAGTGAAAGAAGATAAACTTTTGTTGGAAGTGTTTGGACCATGTTTACCAGAAGCAAACGTACAGTGCCAGCAGCCAAACTGGTTGAGGGAAAATTTTAAAGGATCAGAAAAGAAATACTTGCTAGACACTTACCTCTGTAGGACTTCAACACACTACTGAAGTTTGGGCAACCATGAAGATCTCGGCCCCATCCTAACATTTGGGACCCAAGACAGTAGTGATTAATTATATTCAAGACCCTTTTTGAGCTTGTAACCACCTTAGCCATACACAATTCCTAATTTCCTGTATGTTAATATTTTCCCAAAAAAACCCCGAGGTATATTGGCTTGCTTAAGGGATAGAACAGTAAATACAGAGTGGATTCAGCAAGTACCCACCATAAACTGCTAGGAGAAAACTTGATCTCTTTCTCTTGTTTGTTGTCAAACAATGAGAATAAATTAAGCTTTTAAAATTTTGGACACGTATAGTACTTTATAGTATTTTATTTGTGCTCATGAAGGATTTTCGAGTATGAATATGACAAAGGTTTTCTGAGCCAGAAGAGTCAGCCTGATAATTAATTTCACTAACATTTCCTTTTTGTTGTTTTCTTTTTGCAGTACGCAGGCCTCTCACTACTGTGGCCTCTCCCGTTGCGGAGCGCAGGCTCAGTGGCCACGGCTCACAGGCCCAGCCGCTCCACGGCATGTGGGATCTTCGCGGACTGGGGCGCGAACCCACGTCCCCTGCATCAGCAGGCGGACTCTTAACCACTGCGCCACCAGGGAAGACAACATTTCCTTTCTTAATTCTTCCTTTGACCAACTGTGCTTTGCAAACATGTGATATAGGAAGAAACTTTTTATTCTCTGCAGTAATTTAGATGGTGATTTTGTGGATGAATTTGCATACTGTTAAGCTATCCTTAGCTATCTCAGCTCATCTAATTTTTCCCGTTGTCGTTTATTCTCACATTTTAATTTTGTCTGGGAACATGATGGGTGAAAGAGTTCAGAATAATGGACTGGATTGGAGTAACTATTTAGGTTCAGATGGAACACCAATGGTTCTTCAGCTGCTCCCCAAGTGTTCATCTGTAAGCCAGTTATCTAGAGCCTTACTATTCAGTGTAGTCTGTGTACCAGCCACAATGGTATCACCTAGGAACTTGTGAGAAATGCAGAATCTCGGACCCCACCTCAAACCAGCTGAATCAGAGGGGTTTTTTTTGTTTTTGTTTTTAAGTGCTTAACACACGAAAGGTTTATTTTTTCTCTCATTGTGGTCAAATTTTGTGTATGCTGGCAGGGACAAGGAGGGCTGGCCTTCACACAGTCACAGATCAGGAATCCACTCAAGAACACAGAACCCACTTAGCAGCTCCTCCCTTTAGGGCTATCAGAGAATTTTTTTTTTTTAATTGAAGTATAGTTGATTTACAATGTTGTGCTAATTTCTGCTGTATTGTGGTAAAATACACCTATCATAACATTTACCTTCTTAACCAATTTTATGTGTACAGTTCAGTAGTGTTAAGTACATTCATGCTGTTGTGCAACCAATCTCGAGAACTCTTCTCACCTTGCACAACTGAAACTCTATACCCATTAAACAACTCCCAATTTCGGCCACCCACCAGCCTCTGCCACCACCATCAGAGTCTGCATTTTAATAAGACAACAGGTGGAGATTCACAGCACCTTAAAATCTGAGAAGCCTGATCCAGAGAGAAACTTGCTTTTTCCAACTCTATGCTGAGGTGACTAATGTATTTTTTTAACTGAGAGTGCAGCAAAAAGTATAGTTGACCCTTGAACAACACGGGTTCGAACTGTGAGGGTCCACTTGTACGTGGATTTGTTTTTCAATAAATACATACAGTACTGCATAATCCATGGTTGGTTGAATCTGAGGATACAGAACAGCAGATATGGAGGGCAGACTGTAAAGTTATATGTGGATTTTTGACTGTGTGGAGGGTCAGCAACCCTAACCCCGTGTTGTTCAAGGGTCAACTATATATCTAATTACCTCACAAGGAGGTAGAGCCAGACAGACACCTTGCCTGCAGCTTCTTTTAATACCATCCACAGCTAAGTGCCTTCCTAGCAAGTTTGAATCAGTAAGTCATAAATGAAGGTGGAACTTCCTAACCTTTATATTCAAATTCAATCCATTAGGCAAGAGGCCCTTAGGACAGGGAGAAAAACAGACACCATTTTGTATGGGCCTCCTTAGGTTATTGTTATCAGTTTAAAAAAAAAAAAAAAAAGGAAACAGCCTGGACATACTTGGATTTCCAATTATGTGATGCACTGCCAGGAAAAGAAAATGTGGATGTGCTAAAAGTAGTGGTAATAAAAGTCTAGCATTTACAAATACTGATTTGTTTCTGCCATAGATGAAGTAAATTACTCTTTGAAGTTAACTAAAGCATATAAGCTTCTAATTTTAGCTTTGTTCTAATAGTTTAACTTTTTTGCTTTATAGAATTGTCTTGACTTTGAAGCCCTGGCATTCCAACACATCCTGACTTCTAGTTTTTGAATGTGAATTACTCAAAATTATTAAATTCAGAAACAGATCCTGGTTGCCTATATTATAAAGTTTCTATATTTGCTTCAATTAATTTACATATAGTGATTGCAGTGTGAGAGGTAGTAAGAATGATTTCTGTAATATTAAGTATGGATCAAAATAACATCTATGATAAGTAATGATAAACTAATTAATTAATTTGTTTGTTAAGTTAACCAACAACCTTAGATTTGGGGGCACATATTGTGAATCAGCCATTCACAACCCTCTTTTCTCTTGCTTCCTCAACCACAGAAGTTGGAAACCCAAACACTCAATATTCTAGACTCCTCTATAAGGAAGAGCCACGGGCCCAGTTCTAGCCAATAAGATGTAACCAAAGTCACTGGGTGGAACTTCTGGAAAAGTTTTAGTTTTTTTAAGGGACATAATTGGCTGGCATGTATTTTGTCCATGATAAACTAATTTTAAAAGATGAAACTATATGAGACAAGTAGGTTGAATGAAATTACAAAGAGGAGTGCATTAAAAAAAAATACCAGCAGTAAAATCTCTTTAAGAATTAAAATGACAGCCTAAAAATAAAAAATAAATAGGCCTTTAAAAATATTAGTTTACTGCAGACAATTTATATTCTTCTTCTTTGTTTTAAAGGATGACTTCCACGCACACCTTCCAGCTTGTCCTCTGGAGGCTTCGGCACAGATGAAATTACCTAGTTTAAAAAAAAGAGAACCACCGACACTATAATTTTTATAGTACAAGAGTAATAAACCATTAGAATAGGTAGGATATACGTCCAGTAGTTTAATCTTTGCCATCACATTTAAGGCAGTTAGCCCAAGTTCAAGGTGCAGCCTACGATCTAGGCACAGAGCAAAGTTTTCTGTCCAAACATTGATGGGAGTAAAATTTCTAAAGCCATTTAACAAGGAAGAAATTTTGAGGGGAGAAAAGTAAACATATGCTCTACTTTAACATTCCTTTATAGATCTGTTATTTTATGAAGTCACTTGTAATTTTATAAATACAGATAGATACCCTGGTTATGCATAACTTGAAACACTTATAATATTTGATATATTTAGAGACACTGAGGCTCCAGTGGGGATGGGGGATGAAAAATTTAAAGAAATAAGCAGAAAATGCTAGAATCCTCAATTTCTTAGGGAAAAATGAAATCAAATACATCAGAACAACATAGACAATATAAGTTAAAGCACAGTAAGACAGTCTTCACTTAAAATGGAAAATTATTAGAAACTGTAGTAAACTGTATTTAGTGTTTCTCCTTTTTGTTGTTCTACTATTTCTATTTCTAGGATTTGGACCTAACTCTTTTTTTCTGGAAAATACAGTCAGCTCTGTCTAAGACAGCTATGTATCTGTATCTATGTCTCAGTTTAGTTGTATCTGAAGGAAGGGTGCCAGTACAAGCAAAAAAATTTTTAAAGAGGCTTAAGCATAAAAACTGTGTCCATGGATTTTTATTATTATAAAACAATTCCTCACCCTCAACTGGATAATTTTGAGGTTAAAAAAGGGTACATAAAAGAATCTACCTTAGCCTCTCTTAATTACATTGTAAAATATATGTACAACTATGTGAAAGCACTTTCTGAACCTGAGTTCAAGTATAAGAGAATGGTCTTTCTCCAGCAGATTATGATTTCTGAAAGGCTTGCCCCACGATAAGGTATTTTTCAAACGCTAACTCAAATGTTAACTTTCTTTTATTTGTGCTTAGAAAATGGAAAATGGTTATGTAAATAACATTAAAAAATGGTTACCTAAGTAGAACAATCTAGCTCTAAACTATTTAAGAAATTTAAAATTAAAATTCAGACCTTAAGGCCTAATCTTTAGAAATCTCACCTTCTTTTATGGCTATCTGTATCAAAGAAGCAAAATAAGCATTTGAATTTTATGTAATTTGTAATTTTGAACTTGAGAAATAAATTGTAATAATTTTCCCTCAATGCAGTAGTTCTCTATGTTGGCTCACATTAGAACTATCTGGAGAGCTTTTAAAAAAGGGAGGGCCTGGACTCCATTCTCACAGATTGATCTAACTGGCTAAAACTACTGGTTTTTTTTTTTGTTTTTTTTTTCCGGTACGCGGGCCTCTCGCTGTTGTGGCCTCTCGCGTTGCAGAGCACAGGCTCCGCGGCCGTGGCTCACGGGCCTAGCGGCTCTGGGGCCTAGCAGCTCTGCGGCATGTGGGATCTTCCCGGACCGGGGCACAAACCCGTGTCCCCCGCGTCGGCAGGCGGACTCTCAACCACTGCGCCACCAGGGAAGCCCAACTACTGCTTTTATTATTTTCTACTTAGAGTGATATAAAATATGTTTAAAGCAAGGATTAAAGGTATCAAAGCAAATACATATCTGTGAGTCAAATTCAGTTATTGTACTTCAATAGAGAATTGTAGGAAACACATCTAAAAAGTAAAAATGAAAAAAACAAGAATGATAATACTGTAGTTCGCAGAAATAAGTCTCCATTCAGTTGTTAGTCCTGTAACCAAATGGTCCTTAAAACGTTTTTTTATTTTTAAATGATCTTACCTCTTTAAGTTTATTCCGAATTAAATTCGCTGTTGTATTCAACGAGTCATCATGCATGTCTACTTTAGGAATGTCTGGTAACTGAGGGCCAATCATAACCTCATTACTACTTGTGCTTGCTTCAAAAAGAGTTCCACGTTTACAATCATCTTCTCTTCTTCTTTTCCGCTCCTGCAGTTGTGTTGTCCTAGGCATAAATCTGTCAACTGCCTCTGAAGGTGTAATAGCCTTCTGTGTGCCAGGGAAGGCCAATGAATTTTTCAAAGTTTTCATCTGCATTTTCTGCAGAGAGTCATAGTGGTTACAATGCTCCAGTGTTTCATCATGGTTTCTACCATCCTGAGAGGAGTTTGATGCTCTATCCACATGGTCTCCTGATGAACATGTATATTTGGGGGAGAAACAGCACAAAGGCAACTCACAAGAATAAGGAAGACAAAGATCTGAGTTCCCAGTAGATGTGTTCAAAGAGGCTGCAGGAAATCCAGAGGTCTTCGAATAGAAGTCCTGTCTAAAATCTTTTGTATCTTTATGCTTCTTTGTCATGTAATGATCTTTATATTAGAATTTAAAAGGTGAGAGAAAGGAAAACAGAAATGGTTCATTTATTGTTTTCATCATTCAGAAACATGTACTTGTAAAAAGAAACATTACTTTAAGATGTTAATGAACGCTACCCTAAAAAATTTACTTCTTGAGTAGGGAATACATTCACATGGTTTAAAAGCTAAAAAGGATATCTGTCCAGTATGTCTTACCTTTCTTCCTCCCACTTACCACTCTTTTTCTCCTGTAATACCCATTTCTCTGAACCTTTCTGCTTTCCAGTTAACTCTAAATCTTACAGAGTTTCCATGTCATTACATAGAAAACTTTTTATGGCTTCAAAGTATTTTACTATATGAATGTATGATGCTGTTTAGTTTGTATTTGTAGCTTTTAAAGGAGACAATATGCTGGATCCATATTTTATCATTTCTTTGGTCACACATACAGGTTTTCCTGAAGCTAGTTATTCACACAGGTTAAAGTTCAGCATCTACAACTGACCAGAGACTCCCAACAGCTCTTGCCAAAATTTCAGGTAAGTTTTACACTTTATTTCTCTCTTCACACTGCCACATGCCCCTTATTCAATCAGCCATAATCTCATCATATTTGATACCTGTTTGGACACTGTCTTTGTCTTTTAACCAAAGGGTGGAAATTTGGTAAATTGAGCCTCTGGAACTATTCAGATTTCAGACCACACACATTATCTTAGTCCAATTCTGACTGCTCTAGTTCTACAGTCCATGTGCCAGATCCTATGACTCCATTCCGTGCACTGGGAATTTGTGTCTAGGGCAACTTGGATGGGCATATTGGGCATCTGGCCAGCTGGTGTTCATCAAAAGTGGAATTTATCCACTTTTTACAGTTGTAACTGGCCTGCACATCAGAGGTGTTTCTCACTGCCTTTTGGTCAAAGCCTTAATTCCTCAGCATGGACACAGGCTTTTCAGGCTTTACTTCCTGTCTCCTTTTCTCTTATCTCTCACTGAAGCTGTGTTGTGGTTATCATGTACTACTCACTGTTCCTTAAAATGCATGATGCTCATTTATTCCTCTGGCCCATCTTTCCATCTCTTCCTCTCCCCTTCTAAGTAATGTCTACTTACCCTTCAGAACTCAGCCACCTCTCTTATCCTTAGGAAGTCTTCCATGAAACAACACCTCTCCCTTCCCAGCCCAGATTACACAGCATTCTGTAAAGAACCCTGTAGTCTACAGATATTGAAAATTGTGATCCTTTACTTGTCTGTTTTCTCACTAGACTGGGAACTCCATGATGATAAACATAGCAAAATATCTGACACATAGGAGGTGTTGTTTAGTAATTGGCTTTCCATACCTTTATTTTTAGTAGTTCTTGCTACATAAGCATTCCTCTCTTGTAATTTTTTTCTGGTTTCTTCAACTGTCTCAAATTCTGGAGCATAGCACACATGAAGCAATCCACCAAAGAAACTTTGTTCATCCATTTTTCTCTTGGCTATCCTAAACAGAAATACATATCATGGTTTACTAATCTAGATTTACTTAGGATGAAAGCTTAACTAGTATACAATACACTGATCTAAAGAGCGAAGTCCAGCTTTTGCTGTGTATATATATTCTATAGCTTGGGAATTAAGATGCTCTGCTTGTGGATGGTATTGACCCTACTGATCCACTGCATACTCTCTTAGAGCCTTTCCTCCCCTCTCCCAAGAGTCTTAATAGGTTTTAACTAAGTCATCCATACAAGCGAGATTCCCTTTAACCAATATAGGATCCAGCTTGTTGGTCTGAGGTACACAATCTGTGGTCATGAAATAGAGATTTTTCTCTGTGTTAAGTTAAATGGCCCTTGAGAGTTAGCTCATACCTAATTTAGCCTTTTCAGCACAATGTTTTCCTATAATGGGATTCATATGTAAGAAATTAGTTAAAAGTATTGTTATTGTAAACCTTCAATAATGGAGGAAATCTTGAATATGTAACAATCAGTGAGAAAATAAGAGGATGGTATTCATTCAACAAATACTTATTAAACATCTATGATGGGCTTCCCTGGTGGCGCAGTGGTTGAGAATCTGCCTGCCAATGCTGGGGACACGGGTTCGAGCCCTGGTCTGGGAGGATCCCACATGCCGTGGAGCAACTGGGCCCGTGAGGCACAACTACTGAGCCTGCGCGTCTGGAGCCTGTGCTCCGCAACGAGAGGCCGCAGCAGTGAGACGCCCGCACACCACGATGAAGAGTGGCCCCCGCTTGCCACAACTAGAGAAAGCCCTCGCACAGAAACAAAGACCCAACACAGCAAAAATAAATTAATTAATAAACTCCTACCCCCAACATCTTAAACAAAACAAAACAAAACAAACATCTATGACTGGCCAGGAATTACTACAATAATTAAGTACTTCTGTGCCCAGGGAAAATGATAAGAAATATTCATTGAGATTTTACCACGTACCAGGTAGTGTCCTAAGTGCTTAAATGCTTCACTTGAATTAACACTTTACAACAATCTTATGATGAAACTAAGGCCTGGGGAGATTTATAACTTGGCCATGCCCATATTGGTTTGTGGAGCTAGGATTCAAATCCAGATGTCATACTGCATGGTCTACTGTCCTAGGTGGTGTGGGAGATGTAAAAACTCCTTAAAATGAATGCACAATAAGAAAATATGATTCCCTCACCATGAGGAGCTGGCAAGTTGGTTAGAGCAGTGAGATTATACATAAGAGCAACTGGACAACACTACATAACCCTGTGTACCCAAGTGTTATTTGTAGCACAGAAAAGACAATAAGAATTTTAATAGCCAAGGAAGGATGGGACTTGGAGTGTATTAGTAACAAGAATAGGAATCAACATAAAAAGAGATAAGGCATTTCACATTTCAGCCTTATTGGAGCAGAGAGTATGTTATATATAGAAGGATAGAAAAGATGGGGTCAATTCACATAGATGCATAACAATAAGAAACTCAACAACTAATTTTTTTTTAAAGACTTTTTTGATGTGAACCATTTTAAAAGTCTTTATTGATTTTGTTACAATATTGCTTCTGTTTTATGTTTTGGTTTTTTGGCTGCGAGGCATGTAGGATCATAGCTCCCCGACCAGGGATCGAACCCACACCCCCTGCACTGGAAGGCACACCTTCTTAATCTTAATCGCTGGACATCCGGGGAAGTCCCTCAACGGCTAATGTTTATTGCATTCTAAAGAGAAGGCATTTGCTAATCCCTTTACGTGAATTATCTAATTTCATCTTCACACAACTTCAATAAGTAGATCCTTTTACCATGTGGATTTTACAGAATACGAAAACAGGTTTAATGGGGTTGAATAACTTGTCCAAGGTCACGATGTTAGTAAGCAGTGGAACCTGAAAACTTACTCCAAACCCAATCTTTAATCTACCACACTACACGACAGAAAATTGTTAAGTATGGGAATGATCTATGGACAGAGTTTTGGTAAAGCTAACACTTAAGAAAACTGGAGAAAAATAATAACGGCCATGTTAGGTTATTGGGTAATTCAGGAATGAATGAGAGAGGCCAAAATGATACCAATGGGAATGGAGAAAATGAGACACTGCTTAACTTGCATATTACCTTGCACTTTGTAAATTAAGAAATTTAATAAGGTAAACTTCTGTAAAGTCTTCTGCTGGGTATTCGTCCAGAGCATTATACTGTTCAATTGCACCATACAGAGCAAATCGCTCAACTAATTCCTTCATCGCTCCCACTGCAGGAACTCCTTGTATTAATAAGTACCGAGATTCCAAATTGACTGTATATACCTAAAAGAAATGCGACACATTAAATGTATTTCACAAATAAGCCTAAGACAAATCTGCTCCTATTTAAAAAAAAATTGAAAACAAGAACTATTCTGTTCAGAGGGTCTGCAAAAAATAAAGAATCAAAAATTTGCCCCTCTCTCTGCATAAAGAATTCACCCTACGTGTGAAGGCCTCTAGCTAAAGCACCTAATAGACTACCTTCAAGCGACACGTTTTCCAGAAGTTGGCTCGGTAGATACGACAGGAAAGAGTTAACATAGTCATTGAGCGTTACCTTGTGACTACTGTAAACGCGGATGATACAATGACTAAAACACAGCTCTGTTTTCACGGAGCTGAGGTTCTAACAGTTGGCTAAAGAGGTCGCAAGAATATCTGGTACCTGAGTACCAGCGTTCCTCACACTCATCTCCAGTGAATGGATGTGACCGCAGCCTTTCAAGATTTTATTTACGTAGGCTAGGCATGTGAAGCTAGAGCTCACATAAAGCTACTGAGGACAGCGAGTGAAACCAAAATCACTTTACCTTGACAGCGCGAGGCCGTCGCCCCTCCCGATACTTGGCCCGCGAGTCGCACACAGCCTTTTGGACGTGGTGGTCGAATACGCCCCCAAGCTCCCCGCCACTCGACGCCATCTTGCCGGTTTGGGCCCTCTCAGAGAGGACAACATCCGCCTCGTTGCCCTCTTGTGTATCCAATAAGAGAGAGGGATGGGTCAAGGCGTGCCGAGATTGGCTGAAGAATCGATAGCGTCAGCCATCGTTTCCTGTGAGCGAGAATTCGATGAACGAGGTGCCGCCCCCCTGCGGCGCGGCGGAGAGGCCCGGAGAGCCGGAGCAGGCTCGCATGCCCCTCCCGCTACAGACGCTCGGCGGGGCTAGGGGCGGGGCCGATCGATCTTCTCCGGCTTCGACGTCCTCGGCCTGCCGGGTTAGCCCGGGTCGGCTAGGGAGAGCGGCCGGAACAGCGCTTGCGGATGATGTGGGGCAGCGGTCGCCTGGCGGGGGCTGGGGGTGACGGGGCGGTCGTGACCGTGGCCTTCACCAGCGCTCGCGACTGCTTCCTCCATTTGCCGCGGCGCCTCGTGGCCCAGCTACATCTGCTGCAGGTAACGCGCCTGCCCCGGACGGGATTCCCGGCCCCGAGTCGAGGCACCTGGTGGGCCGTCTGCTGTCGGCCGGGACCCAGGTCTGTTAGGGACGCAGCGGCCGCTCAGGCCTCTCCCGGCGGCGGGATGCGGGCTGCTTTGCCCAGGCCGCCGACCGGTTCAGAGGCCAGACTGTGGGCCGGTCTGGGCGGTCTTTGCAACCATACCACGTCTAGTGCAGCCCCGGGCCTTTGAGTTAACTTGCCGCATTCCAGGTCTTTTACTTGGTGAAACTGGGCTTTCAAACATCCTGATATTCTGCCACTGCGTTCAGCTATTCCTCACTCCAGGTTGGAAAAGCCTTTGAGAAGTCGGGTTTGTCTTTTTGGGTTTTGTTTTGTTTCATTTTTAAAGAGTGTTTTTCCTACCAATGATTTCCAGGTGCCTGCACGGCTGTGGCCCGGGCCTCCAAAAGGAGGGGCAGCCTTGGTTTGTGGAGCCCCTGTAGGTTAACAGAGACTGAGCCTTGTGTCCCACGCGCGAGATAGGTTAATAAGATGAAGGTTCTTCCAGCGTCTCCGTTACTCGGAACACCTCTGAGGTGTGCTGGGAATGTGCAGTGAGATTATGCATATTTGGACGTATGTAGTTAGGATTACTTGAACCTCTGCTTTCAGTTGCCGTCTGAACATTGTGATTGTGGTAGTTCATCGCTCTAACCACATCCCTACTTTCATTATTTTAAAATAGAGGCACCTGGCCTACGAGTTTGAGTGTGCTTCTGGGGGCAAAAGGATAGAATATTCGAAATCTTTGAAAATCCTGGATGCCTAGTACCCCACTACTGGCTAATCCTTGCAGGAAATATTTAAGAGTTTGCAATAATTTCAAATATCCCACCTTTCCATTTTAATAACTACTTTTCTAGATTATATTTGCCCAGTCTTTCAAAGCACGTTAATTTCAATAGCTCCTGCCATTATTTCTTTTACCATAAAGTAGGTAGTCTCTTGGCCCTAATGAGCTCCCTTCATGGCGGGAGATGAGTTAGTTATGTCACTAAATCCCAGGTAGATCCTGCCTGCCCTGTGCTCTCAGTCAGCTTTGATGGAAATTGTCCACAGTGCCTTCAAATCTCCACCTAATGAGTTTATAGGAAACACTCCCCACCTAATGAGTTTATAGGATTGCTTCCTTACAGTAGCTCTAAAATGTGGATGCTGTGTTACATTCATCACTATTTAAGAATTTAGTGGTCTTGATCTATTTTAAAAATTTTTAGCCTTCAATAAGTATTCATAGGCATTAATTCATAGATAGATTTTTGAAACTTAAATCCTTTTAGCCTTGGAACAAACTGTTGTTTCTGTCCAGCCTATATCAGCAGAATAGGACAATTTTTCTCCCCAATTAGAAAGGTAATACATGTTTTATAGGAAATTTGGAAAGCATGGAAAATTATAAACAAGAAAATAAAATTACCCATAATCCCCAAACCTAAAGATAACTAGTGTTAACAGTTTGAATCAAACCTTCTAGTTTTGTTTCTAATCTCTATTTTTAACAGAAATGGAGTCCTACACACACCCTTATATGTAGTTTTGTATCCTGATATTTCCCCTTAGAGTTATTATAAGTGTTTTATTTTGTTAAAAGGTAATTGTCATTTTTAGTGGCTAATTAGTACTCTGTCATAAGTTTGACATAATTTAATTGTTCACTGTGATGGAATGTTTATATTGTATTCCAGTTTTAGACATTAAAAGTGATACTGTAATTATATTTTAATAAAAGTTAAAAATAACATATCTTTGTTGTATAATATATAATAAAACATTGTTTTATTTTCTGGTTATTTAGGATAGGCTCCCAGAAGTATTGAGTTAGAGGGCATAGGTAATTGTTAAAGTAGAAAGTCATGAGTTGGGAGTTAATAGGTTGAATTATTTTACTTCAGCTGAAGCATTGAATACATAATAGAGATAATACTGTAATGGGTAAAGAGTCAGAGTGATGATTTTCTGGCCTGTGTCAGATTTACCTTTTTTTCTTTCAGTTTTGAGATATAATTGGCATACAGCCCTGTGTAAGTTTAAAGTGTACAGCATAATGATTTGACTTACATGCATCATGAAATGATGAGCACAATGTTTAGTGAACATCCATCATCTCATATAGATAAAAAATTATAGAAGTAGAAAAAAATGTTTTCCTTGTGATGAGAACTCAGTGTTTACTCTCAACAAGTTTCATATATATTAATGCAACAGTGTTAATTGTATTTATCATGTTGCAAAAGGCTTTAAAAATACCGATGTTCTGGTTCTTCCTCAGTCCTACTGAATCAGAGTCTTGGGGAGTGGGCTTCAGGCATCTGTAGATATAGAAATATCTTAAGGCTACTTGGATGCACAAAAAGCTGAGACCCGCTGTTCTAGAATCACAGAATATTGATGGTGAAAGAGACCTTAGGTATCTAGGTCATTTCTGTACTTTCATGCACGAGGAAGCTGGCCAGTCCATTTCCATGCAGTTAATTTGCCCTCGTCTGTAACTCACCTGCATCATCAACACTCGCCTCCTCGCTGTTTCTTCCATAACCCAGCTCCTTCCCACTTCTGTACTCTTACTCAAGCTATTCTTCCCTAAAGCATTTTTCCTCATTCCATGCTTTTAAAAACAGCATAATTCTACCTCCTCCACGTAGTTTCAGATTCTCTGTTGCCCACATTTGTCTCCTTTTCAAAACTTCACTGCAGTGTTTATGTGACACAGCTCACTTGTTATATTCTGTTCTGAGTTTTAAGTATTGTCTTCTTTTGTTTATCCAAGTCCTGTTTCAGGACTGGGTACCCAGAGGATCCTTTAACTCAGGATTTCTTAACCTTGGCACTATTGACATTTTAGGCTGGGAAATTTCCTGTTGTGGGGGACTGTCCTGGGTATTGTAGGATGTTTAGCAGCATCTTTGGCCTCTACCCACTAGATGTCAGCAACACGCCTCCTCCCGGTCGTGACCAAAAATATCTGGAGACATTGTCAAATGTCTCCTGGGGGAGAAAATCACCCTCAGTTGAGAATCACTACTGTAACTCAGTTACTTTGTGTGCATTACTGAAACAGGGGAAAGGATTCATATCCACACCGAGAGCAACCAAATGAACCTAAATCACCCTCCAGAAATAGCCATTTTGTCATTTCCTTTGTGTTACCCAGGCCTCGGACCTGGCCGATCCTAAGGCACTGCAACCTATGGTTTCACCCAGCAATTCCCTTCAAGTGATATGGATACCATGGGTTTGGGCAAAAGCAGGTCAGTCATTTGTTGATTAGATTGAACTCCTGGAAAAGGGGCTTCTTTCTCTCTAGGCTGTCCTTTTCTTCTCTCTACCTGAGGGCCCCGGGGCTCTGTGGTCCAAGTGAATGATTTTTGACGTAAAAATGAACTCAGAACATTAGTCTGCAAAGTTTATATCTGAACATATATTATGACTTTATGGGGCTGAATACTACCTTTTGACCAAATGAATAATTGAAGTGTTTTTCATATTTAATGAAGTTGATTTTTCCCTTTTCCAGGGAGTTGGTGGGTTCTCCTTTTTGATATTTCAGGGCATATTTCATATTTTCTTATTTAACATCTGTGGTTTTAAAAGTTTCTTCATATGAAATAGGGGAATTGATCTGCATTATATGTCAATGACTGATGAAACTCCGTAGAAAGTTTTTGGGGGATTGGTCACTTTGACTCTTATAATCTCAGCTCACATAGTTACAGCTGACCTAGTAACTTTGGACTTTGACTCCAAATCTGAGTCTCTTTCTACTGTATCACATTGTTCTCAGTGGAAAGATTTTGTCAGCCAGAGTGGTGGAACTGTCCTGTAAAGAACTGTAAGGACTTCCCTGGTGGCGCAGTGGTTAAGAATCCACCTGCCAATGCAGGGACACGGGTTCAAGCCCTGGTCCGGGAAGATCCCACATGCCACGGAGCAACTAAGCCCGTGCGCCACAACTACTGAGCCTGCACTCTAGAGCCCATGAGCCACAGCTACTGAAGCCCATGCCCCGCAGCAAGAGAAGCCACTGCAATGAGAAGCCCATGCACCACAACGAAGAGTAGCCCCCGCTCACCACAACTAGAGAAAGCCCTTGTGCAGCAACGAAGACCCAGTGCAGCCATAAATAAATAAATTTAAAAATATATAAATTTATTAAAAAAGAGGATTAGCCAGAAATAGACTAACATGGTTGATATTCACATGAGAATATCAGTAATTCCTTTTTTCCCTTCCAGGTTTATATTTCCCAAGGTTTCTTTAATAGGTTTGTAATTTTTAAATCATAGAAAACATTTTTTAATCCTTAAGCACAGGCATACATATTTTATATAATTGCTCTTAAGAAGAATAAATTTTATACTTTGCTTTTTTTACTTATGTTTCCATAGTTCAAGACTTTTAAAAATTATTATTTAAGAAGCTGCATAATATAAAATTTCTGGAATGTACATAAGCTATTAACAGTAATTACCTCTGGGAACAGGGACCAGCCCTCACATTTTATGCTTTTATACTTTTTG